ACTACTTTCAATGTAGCCTTTCACCTTATGCTTAATACAGCTGGCAAATCTAAAGGAAATTTAATTTAAAATCTGTAAAAGAAATTAGATAAATGAGCTTTTCCCAAATAATGGGAATGAAATCTATACAAAGAAACCTCAGCTGTTAAGAAAGAATACTTTGTTACAAGGCATGAAACTAGCAAAAAAGAAATCACATTCTTGACAACCTCTGAAACATTATTACTGACAGTCAAGTTAGAACATAGTAAGAAAAAAAAATTCAGGTGACATTGCATTAAAGCTTTTAAACCCTAGACCCAGTAACCCAAGAAATTCAAAGTGGAGGAGTTTCAAGAGAAAAATACCAAATTTGGTTTTAGTCAAATAAAACATACAAACAAAAAAATTCATTGTTTTTTTAAATTTTATTTTCAGACACATCAATTTTAAAATATTTTACAGTATTACTTTTATACGGGATATACCATTTGGTGTTTAATGTTGTAATATAACTTTCATACTTGCCCAGTTTAGTCATCTGTTCCCAAGCTTCTTCTACAGTGTGAAGTTTTTCTTTCGTGATCTCCAGTTCCTTATTCAATGAATTTATCTGCTCTTTCAAGGATTCATTCTCACGCTATATGACAGAAAAGTTGCAATGTAACAGCAAACTATTTAATTGTAGCAGAATTCATGTTTAGTATCTACAGAACCTTTCAGATTAACAGACTTTACCTGTGTGTGACCCATAACCTACATATATGGCAACAGAAGAGTGCATGTTTGTAAAGTGCATATGTTTTATAAGTGTTAAAATGTCAGTCTTTATCCACTGTACCTTTCTGACACAGCTAGTAATGCTGTGAATATTTATTACCAGTGACTGTGAATCAGACAACATCTAGAATTAGATGAGAAAAAAATACTTGTTTGTCATACTAAGCACCTCGTTGACAGTGGAAAGAAATACTTCTGGAGGATTACTTCATCCCACAAAGAATACTTCATTTTGCACATAAATACCTATTTGAGACAGATCAGACATTTCTTTTAGTTCTTTTAGGTGTTCAGTATGATACCAAATATTACTTTTATAAATGTTCCTTCACTCCTCCAAACAGAAATACAAATTTACACATTAAACAAAAAACAAATTGAATACTTCATATTATTTTCAATTTTTAGTTTTCTGGACATGTTTTTAGTTGATAAATTATTCTCTAGCTCTATGAAGTTGCTGAAACAGGCAATGCAAGTTTTCATACGCTCAAAATTCCATACAATAGACATAGGACCCCTTCATTCTTTACCCCCATGAAAAGTGGGAGGTAGTAACATATCTTTGAAGCTAACTTCACACTTCTTGATAAGAAACTCCCTTTTACTTCAGAATAAAAGTTCACAGGAAGAGTTAAATATTTGCAGTGCCTACAATATTTTGCGAGCACATTATCAACAATCTTTGGCTTCTTTTATGGAAGTAAAATTCCAAAGCTTTACTCTTTTTGAAACACTTCATTCCTGTGAAAGCTAGGAATTAGTAAGGGCACATACTTTGAAAAAAAGTTTTGAAAGTGTTTACATTCTTTCTACTTTCCTTATGACCTCCAAAACTGAGGATGATAGTAAATACTCCTTCTGCCAGCCTTGTTTTAGTAATCAAAGAACTAAAAATAATCTCTGAGAGAACATATCCAAAGCTTAGTTTAAAGAACAAATACACAAAAAAAAACAAAGAACCGAAATGAAATGGTTTTCTGTCTGCCCATTTTTTCCCTTAGGGTTAAAAAATAACACAGACATTACCTCCATGTGTTCCATGTTTGTTGTCCTTTGCACAAGCAAATTATCTTTTTGTAACATCTCTCTGTATTTAGCAGTTAATGCATTGTACTGCTTATTGGCCACTTCTAGCTCAGACAATGGCACACTATTGTCCAGCACTTTTTGCAGAGCTGCAATCTTAAAGCAAGCCATTTCCTATGAAAATAATCAGCACAATAGGTTACTAAAGTCAGCTAGAAATTTAAATATAAAATTACTCCACATAAAAAGAATACTTAATATAGTGCTTTAGATATTAGTTTATTTTTCTAAATTACTGTTCATCTTTAAAAATCACCTGCAATACACATTGACCAAACTCTGATATTCCAACTCTCTGGGTAATTTTATCAATAGTTGCCTCTCAAGATACTATCAAAACATATAAAATTGATGCAGGCCCTAGCAACCTGCAAGACCAAAAGGTAAGATTTGGCTTCTTACGATGATCGTAGAATCATAGAATGGTTTGGGTTGGAAGGGCACCTTGAAGATCATCTAGTTCCAAACCACGGCCATGGGCAGGAACACCTTTCACTTGACCAGGTTGCTCAGACCCCCATCCAATCTGGCCTTGAATGCTTCCAGGGATAGGGCATCCAATTTCTCTGGGAAACCTCTGCCAGTGCCTC